CACAGATGTTCCTCTGGTGACAGTTTAACCACTTATGTGCACAATTATCTTGCCCAGTCATTCTGACCTGCAAAACTCAGTGGAAAGAGAACTAAAATGGCTGTAAGGGAAAATGGAGTTAGATAGGGATAAAAGAAATTTAAGTCTAACAACATATACTGTAACAAGAAGCAAAGCCTCAGTGCCTGGGGAGGACCAGCCAATGAACTCGAAGCTCACTTGTGACCGCTTCCCTAACACAAATCCCTAGTGGGTACCGTAGAGAGCAGGAGACATACATGGGGATACAGAGAGGGAGACGTTGAAGGTCTGAACAAGAATCAGCAGAGATTCTGGTTCCCTATTGCATAAGTAAATAACTAACACTCCCAATCTCACCAAAGATTGGGGAGGTTTATAGGAAGGATAAACTGAACAACAGAGAATGAACCACAGAACATGAGCTGTGGGCTATCAGGCAGAATGCGGGTTGAATTGGAGAACACTCCATTAAAAATCAAAGAGGATTAAGTAAAAGTCCATGTACTGACTGCTGAAACTCCAGCTCTCTTCACAATGCCAGCTCCCACAGCACTCGTGGTCAGGGACACTACCTAAGTCACATGCAACCCAATCCACCCGCCTTTCAACAGGAATCAACTCAGTGGCAATAAGTTTGGTTTTGGTTTGGATGGTGTGAAAGGGGGAAAAATGGGAAGCTTCCTTTCCACAGAATACTTTTAGATTTTTGTATATGTGGCAAATAGGATTAGATCAGAGTATGCACACTGTTACAGACAAGAGCCCACAACACAGGGAATCCAGGATGGCTAAACCCCTCAGGGCCAACAAGGAGAGTAGAGATATCAGGATGATTAGGGGAGGGTGGGATGAGAAAAGGATCAATCTAGAACCCTCCTCTCAGGGGGACTGGCAACGGAAAAGTGGGTGAGGGGTGACAGATATGAAAATAATTATCTATAACTTATCAAGGATTCGTGAGGGAGGGTGGGTCAGGGAGGGAGGGGGAAGAAATGGGGAGCTAATAACAGGGGCTCAAGTGGGAAGAGAATGCTTTGAAAATGATGATGGCAGCATATATGCGAATGTGTTTGACACACTGGATGAATGAATGGATTGTGATAAGAGATTTTTTTTAAAAAGTCCCTTCCACATAAAAAGCATCTACTATAAAAAGACTAAAAATGTGGAGAGATGAATTTCTTACTTTGTGCATTTTATTCATACCTTACTGAAGTTCAGAGGTGGGTTTTTGCCTCTACATAAATTGGAGAGGGCCCATACAGCATTTCTGGTTGTTGTCAGTCTGCTCGAGTTTTTTAATATGAACAGTCCGTTTCTTCTTCATAGTCCGTTTTCCGTCTGGAAGCTCTACTGAAACTCATCACCTTGGGTGACCCTCCTGTGTGTTGGGCAGGATGGACCAGAGAAACAAATCAAGTGACCCTCAAATATGTATAAGAAAGAGCTTAATATCATGAAGTAATTATATATAAAGAAAGCACACCAGCCCCGTTCAAATGAAGTCCTTAAGTCTGACACCAGACCACAAGTTCATCTTCGGACTCATGCAGCCACATGCAATGATGCAGAATGCACGCAGATCACAGACTGTGCCAGGTGGATCCAAGGTCAGTGGGAACGACACAGGGTTCCAGCAACTCTCTCGGAGTCAGTGGCAGAGAGCCCTTTCCAGTAGGAAGGACAAGGGGCAGAGAGCAGAGTGTTCCCCTGGTACTCCTGAAAGCCACCCCCCCCCCCATGGAGACAGCATCTAGCCATGACTTGATTGACAGTTTTGACTACCCCTAAGCCAGGAGTGACTAGTTGACATTAAATCATCTAATTGCCATATTTTGGCATTTGAAAGACCATTGACAGAGCTGCCAGCATCACAGAATCACATTAGCCACCACAACACGTACACATACATACAAGCCCCTGCAGAACAACAAACTGACGGACAAGTGGTGGCTTCTTAATAGTGATTTATGTGCTGCTACGTGGTACCCCGACTTCCCCGTGCCTGGAGGCGGTGTCAATGGCTCGCACGCCCCCAGCGTGGAACGGAACGAGTAGGTTCGCAATTCAAGATGGCGGCCACCGGCGCCCCTCACCCGAGACCCCGAGGCTCGGCTCCCAGAAGCCCTTGCACGCGGCCCAGGTTAGCGGAGGGGCTGGGAGAGGAGCGCGTCTCAGTCCCGCCCCCGGAGGAGGAGCGGTGTCTGCGCGGCCCTCCGTGCGTTCATCCTTGCGCGGCCCTCAGTGGGTTCACTTGCGCGGACCTCAGTGGGTTCACCGTGAGCGCCGCTCAGTGCGTTCACCGTGCGCGGACCTCAGTGGGTTTACCCTGCGCGCCCCTCGGTGCGTTCATCCTTGCGCGGACCTCAGTGGGTTTACCCTGTGCGCCCCTCGGTGCGTTCATCCTTGCGCGGACCTCAGTGGGTTTACCTTGCGCGGCCCTCAGTGCGTTCATCCTTGCGCGGACCTCAGTGGGTTTACCCTGCGCGCCCCTCGGTGCGTTCATCCTTGCGCGGACCTCAGTGGGTTTACCCTGCGCGCCCCTCAGTGCGTTCATCCTTGCGCAGACCTCAGTGGGTTCACCGTGCGCGGCCCTCAGTGGGCTCATCCTTGCGCGGCCCTCAGTGGGTTCACCGTGCGCGGACCTCAGTGCGTTCATCCTTGCGCGGTCAGTGCGTTCATCCTTGCGCGGACCTCAGTGTGCTCATCCTTGCGCGGAGCTCAGTGCGTTCATCCTTTCGCGGAAGGTGTTGCTGGAGTTTTCCCTCCTTTTAGTCTTTGTGCAGAGTTTGCGCTCTCATTCTGGTCCATGCAGGCAGTCAACCTGTAGCACAGTCTTGATTGAGGGCTAACTCTTGCCAGTCCCAACAGTTAGAATCCCGACCTTACCGAGTTTGAAGAGGCTCTGACCACCTCTAGCCTCATGAAGGTTTTCTTCAATGCCTTGATGGCATAGTGGTAACCCACTGGGCTGAGAACAATAAGGTCAGCATCTTGAAACCGCCCACCTGTCCTGGGCTTTCTACCCCCATAAACAGTTATAATCTGTTAACAGTAAAGAGTTACAACCTCTGAAACTCACAGGGGCAGTTTACCCTGTCCTTTAACAGCATCGATCAGATGGCAGTGAATTTGTTTCAACTTTTCACCATGTCAGTTATTTATAATTTTTAATTATATAGTATCTGGATATTTTTCTAAATTAAAGTCATTCTAAAGTATCTGCATATTTAACAAAATTGTAGTCACTAATATTTTTTTAAAGATTAAGGCTGGGTAAATCGTACTCTAGATGATTGTAATACATTTATAATCTATAATCCATCATGGAATTCAGTTGAAAGCTAACTATTTTCTAGATGGAATGTTAGCTGCTGATGATATAACTAATGCACGATTCCTGCCCTTAATAAGTTTACAGTGTATTAGGGGAGAAACATGAAAACACGTGTTTAACAAGTTGTGCTATCTTCCTGAGTTGAAAGAAAGAAGAGAAAAAGAAACAAAACAGGAGAGACAGCAATGGTTAACAGTGGTGTGGGAAGCTGAGAAGGGAAGATAGCTTGGTAAAGAAACCCAGAGTGAAATCTTAAAGTATGAAGAGCGGTTTATTTGACTGAATCATCTGAGTCCCCTTCTTTTTTTCCTACCTCTCCCTCCAGCCTAAACATTCCTGCTCTCTAGGCAGGCTTCCTCTCCGAAAAGATATGGCAGAGGCAACATCATGGTGTCTCCTGGCTGTGTCCCAGCAGGGTTGGGAACTGTGTTTTCCCTGTCCAGGCTAAAACTAGAGAAATGGGGCTGGTATCAAGATGTCAACTTTATCTTTGGCATAAAACATCAGCCACAGCCACTCCAGTCCAATGTCTGACATTTTATGGCATCTTCCTAACTCTACCTATCAAAATAGATGCCACCAGTCACTGAAAGCTTTAGCTCCATAAAGCTGTGGCCCGGAGAGCATAGAGCATATTGCCCACTGGTGCACGTATTCCAAAGTCCATGGAAAGGAAAAGGTTCTAGGCCTTGCCTCACTTTGGCAAATAAATCTGAAAAATCAGAAGACGCGCCTCCCTTAAGTCAGGTTGACTAGTGCAAAAGTGAAGTCTGATTGACTCGCTTTTACAATGACTCCCGTGAGCTAGAGGAAACTGAGACGTTAAGCAAACGTATTCCCATAGTCACAGTGATAGTAAAAGTAGCCGCTGCAGTTTGAGCTAAGTAATGGAGTCCTTGAGTCTAAGACTCTAACCACACAGTGTGTAGTTCTGTGTATATATGGTATTGCAGAACTTCTTGATAAGAGAACTTGATCAAAACTTAATAGGAAGATGATCATATAATGTGTTGCTTGAACTAGAATATTTTTGACAGTGGAATGGGAAACTATTAATAAGTTTTCTGGGACAAAAGGCAGTAATTAGGCTGCCCTGGGCAAAGTGTGACATGCAATCCTAATTACAGCAATATGAGAAGAAAAAAATGGACATAGAGACACTTAAGAAAATACCTCTCTCCTGGAAGGAACATAGTAGGTGTGTGTAAAATTACAGTATTAGATTTGGGGATAATTGCTAGTTTAAGCTTTTGTACACCCTGGCATCTGCCCTTGCTGCCATAGGTCTGCTCCTGGGAAATGGACTGAAATTCAAGCTGTATCTCCTGATATTGATTGGAGAATATTCTTCAGGAATAATAATTTTAAGGGTTGTGGGAAACAGAATTTCACAGAGTGAAATTGAACTATGATGTAATTGCAATAAACTCCTCAAACAATTCTCCAAGGAGCACTGGACCTTGAGAATTTGTCCCTATAGAAACTAGCAGCTGGCATTTTTTATGCCTGAATAAAACAGTTGTTGGCAAAGGAGGCTTATTGAGGATAAAGGAGTTCCTTTTGGCTGAAGGGCAATTTCTAGAGAAGAGGTTGGCTTAATGCCCTGAGCAGTCAATCTTTCAGCAACTGGTGGCTAAGAGTTTCTGTGTTGAAATGCTATCTGATCATTGAACTAAAACTTCCACCACACCTGCTTGTTCTGTTCTCCCGAGACACAGAAAATGCATGGCTTTTTCCCATTCAGCCTGATCTTTCTCTTCCTCCATACTTGTCCCCTCTCCAAGCAATACCTAGATGTTGATGTCCTAGATCTAGTTGCATTTACTCTCTATGCAATGTAATTCACACCTGCGTTTTTAGATGCCCTCTTTTAGCTGCTGTCTTTCAAATTCACATCTCCCCCTTAGATCAGACAGCTCTTCCGAGGTCCAAACTCACATAGCCAGTCACCTTTTCAATGACTGACAAACATCTCAAACTTAGTGAGCCCAAACACTCTTGATCCCGCTCACCACTCCCTAACCCCACTGTTTTTTGTTTTTCTCAACTTTCACTATCTCAGTAATGATACACAATACAGTTAGAAACTCAAACTGAAAATCCTAGGAATCTTCCCTAAACAATGCCCCCTGGCTTCTGGTTCTTCCTTCAAAGTCCCTCTCCTGTATGTCTAAATTCTACTGAAACCACCTCCAACTTTCAGTCTCCTCTTTCATATAATGTAGTCCTAACAATACTCCCTGTGTCCACCCTTATTCCTCTACAATCTCTTTTGTATGTAAAAGACAGAATAGTTTAATATTAGATTTTTGTATATTTTAATCAAAGCAATACATGGATATGGTTTTTACAATAGTTTATAAAATTTATAATAAAGATTAACAGTTCTCTCAACTTCCACTCTCCAGAAAATTCCTCTTTCAACTTTTTTAATTATTTCTTATGATATTCACATTTATAGTTCTAAATCATATGTAGTCATAAACCTTTTCATATTTGTCTTAATCTTAGACATGATCTAAGACAAAGGAACATGAGGATTTAACATATTGAGAACACTACTCTCCAAACACACACACACACACACACTTTCAGCTCATGTCCACTATGATTCTATTAAAAGTATCCTAATTAAGTTAGTATTTGATGTTTATAGAAATTGTTATTAGGTGCTGTCTCATGGGCTCCAACTAGTGGTAGCCTTGTGTATACTACAGTGAAACACTGCTCCTTCTGTCCCAAACTAACAGCTGTTGTTATGTTTGAGCCCATTGTTGGGGCCACTGTAGCACTCCATCTCTCGAGGGTCTTCATCTTTGTAGTTGTTCTTTATGAAACATGGTGTATTTTTCCAAGGACTGGTCTCTTCTGATAACATGTCCAAAGTATTTGAGAAGAAGTCTCACCATTCTCACTTCTAAGAAGCATTCTGGTTGTATTTTTTCCAAGACAGATCTGTTTGTTTGTTTGGCCATCCATGGTACTTTCAATATTCTTTGCCAAATATCAAAATGCAAATGGGTCAGAAGCCACATAGTCTTCAAAGTGACATCTTTAGTCATCAACAGTTGTAAGAGATCTTTTGCAGCAGATTTGTCCAAAGCAATCTGTCCTTTGAGTCCTTAAATGTGGCTTCTATGAGCATTGATTGTGGATCAAAACAAAAAGAGATCTTTGACAACTTTAATCTTTTCTCCTTTTATCATAGGGTGGGGCTGAACTACCCCAGTGGGGCTCCAACACTGTAATTCTTTTCAGGAGCAGAAAGCCTGGTCCTTCGCCTATGGAATGGCGAGTGGGTTAGAACTGCTGACCTTGCAGTTATCAAGCTAATGTGCAACCCACTATGTCACTAGGGCTCCTTTAGGATTATTAGGCTGATGCAATATTGCCTCCATTTTCATTATTGACATAAATAGCAATTCTATTTTGAAAAAAATATACCTTCCTCCCCAAATGACAGGGTTAGCAAAACTCGGGAGTGGTGAGGGGAAGGGTTTAGGCTTAACCAATTGCCACACACTTAATACGTGGCTTTTTTTAAAAAAACCACAATTTATCAACTCACAAGTCCTAAAGGTCAGAAGAGCAAAATGGATGTCACTGTGCCAAACTAAAAAAAATTGACTGAACTGGTTTCCTTCTGGAGCTTTTGGTGGAGAAGCTGTTGTCTTGTCCACTTTCTGGAAGCTGCCTGCATGCCCTGGCTTGGGTTTTTATGGCACTTTTATTACTGCTGCAGGCCCAGTTCCAAGTACACACCTATTTAAATATTTGTTGAATGAAATAAGTAATTGACCATAGACCTTAATACTTGTGATCATTTAACTGAGTGGAGAACTTGTTTAAGCAATCCTTCATGTGCAGAGTATAGTTTGGGGCTTAGTGTCTAGTATCATGTTAGTCTGGGTTGACTAGAGAAACAAACTCATAGACACTCATATGTGTGTGAGAGAACTTTATATCAAAGAGTAATTGTACATTAAGAATTTATTCCAGTCCAGTCCAGAGTCCAAAGGCCCGATATTAGCCTATATGTCCAATACCAATATGTCAATTCCTCTTCAGACTCACGCAACACATGCATTGACTCCGAATGCAGGAAGATCACAGGCCAGTGGGTGGAAAGTCTTGTGGATCCAGTGGTGGTGTAAGTATCTCAGCACTGGCAGGGGGATCCACATGGCTCCTTTAGATCCAGGGCTCTAGTGTAGCTCCACGTGTCTTCTCAATAGGAATGTCTCACAGGGAGTGAACATGTGTCCCACCTGCAGTGAGCTATTTATCTCCTTAGCGCCTCAATATGAGGTCATGAAGCTGTGACCTGATTGACAGGCTAAACTCCACTCCTTCACTCTTAAGTCTCAAATTGAGAACAGATTATGTAACCACCACCTATCATTATACAAATACAACCTTTATCAATACTATAATAGAGTATGTAAATGCATTGTTTAGTGCTTAACTGCTAGCCAAAAATTTGGCAGTTGTAACCTACCCAGAGATGCTTGGGAAGACAGGCCTGGCATATGCTTTTGGAAGTTGACAGCCTCGTAAACCCTATGGTGCCATCTACTTTGCACAAATCAGGTAGCAAGGAGTTAAAACTAACCCCACAGCCATTAACAATAACAGTGTTCTACTCATCGAAGCCCTAGACAATGGTCATTGTAGTTCTGTGTATGCCTTAGAGCCTGTCCTAAAAAGTTGTATATAGCTGTGTTTTGTTTTGTTTTGAAATCATTTTATTGGCGGCTCATACAACTCTTATCACAATCCCATACATCAATTGAATCAGGCATGTTTGCACATAAGTTGCCTTCATTCTTTTCTAGATATTTAGTTTCTATTGAGCCCTTGGTATCAGCTCTCCGCCCTCTCCATCCCCCCCACCCTCATAACCTCCTGATAGATTGTACATTGTTATTATATTCATCTCTCATACTGACCGCTGTCTCCCTTCCCCCATGTTTTCTATTGTTCTTCCCCCTGTAGAGGGTGTATGATTATGTGTCGATCATTGCGATCAGTTCCCCCTTTCTCCCTTCCTCTCCCCCTCTTCCCCCTACCCTTCTGATATCACTATTCCCACTCCTGTTCCTGGATTCTATGTGTCGTGAGCTCCCATCCCTTTCTATACCTGTACTTGTTCCGGTCTAGTCTGAATTGAGAAGCAGCACTGGGCTCACGGTTCAGCTGTGTTTTAACGACTTCAGAATCTAGTTCCTTTCAGGTAGATCTGACCCAACTCACTGTCATCCAGTCAATAACAACTTATATTGACCCTGAATAGGATTTCTGAAGCTGTACATCTTTACAGGGGCAGCTAGCTTCATCTTTCTCCTAGTTACCAGCCAAATGCCTTTCCATAGCTCACCAGAGGTCCTTAGAAGTGGAGCATGATGAATAATTCGAGGAGGACAAAAAATGACTACAACTCCCAGAATGCATTACAATCCAGACCTGCTTGAAACGGTGCATGCTGGGTTTCCTCTTCTTCCGGCGGTGGGAGGAAGAGCAGGTTTGAATGTGGTGCTCCATTTTCCCTAGACCTGCAGGTGCTTTCCTGGACATCTGGATTTGGGAAGGATTGGCTTCAGCTGTCGGTACAACAGAGGCATCGAAGGCGGCCCTCCTCACTCAACTCTGGACCGGCGTGGAAGGCTGGAGGGGTGAAGCGAAAGGGGAAAGCCGAGCGGAGCGCACGGTGCGGCATCGCCCAACTGGTACTGCCCGGGCAGGGGAGGGCGCGAGCCTCCAGTTCTCTGCCCCGGGGGAGGGGTGGGGGCGGCGCGAGCCTGCAGTTCTTAATCCTAAACCCAGTCCATTGATCGCTGTCCGGCCTCCTTTCGTTTTCGGATTCAGCCCTTGGCGCGGGGTTTGGGTAGACACGGTCTCAGGGCATTCCCGTCCTAAAGACGATCCAGCCCGCACCGCCTTCCCGCGCCAAGGGCTTCCCTGCAGCATCCAGGCCTGACCCAAATGTGCGGGTGCAAGTCTTTCGTTCTGCCTACTCGGGTCCCAACCACCAGAAAGAACTCTCAGGGTATGACGTTTTTGACCCCAGGGGAAGGTGGAAGAACTTCCTTCGAGAATCTGAGTTTCGTTTCTTTGGACTGAAATAAAGGAAGGAAGGGCAATACAGGGAGATCTCATAATGCTAATTTTATTTGAATGGGGAGTATCGTGTTTCCTTTTGTTGTGGTGGTTGTTTGGTAGTTGCTACCCTAATGATGATGCCTAATAGAAAGATAGCTTAGTGGTTATTAAAATTGTTATTAAATGTGGTTAAAGTTCTTTTTTAGAAGAATGGTCTTTAAATTGATAGTACTTTAGTACTCCATAAATTTAAAAGTGACTGCTTTTAAAATACAACTGGTAAAATACAACTCATTTTACAGTTGTAAAATACAACTAATTTTCCACACTGGTGAGATGTATGACCGAAACTTAGGAACTTTGAGATTATGCGCCCAGTCAGTGACCGCTTCTGCTTCATCAAACCCATTGCCTCTAATAGAATCCCGGTTCTCGGCGGCCCTACTGAACCGGGTAGAACTGCCCCAGAGGGTTTTCAAGGCTCTGAATCTTTTCTGTAGACTCCTGTCGCATCTTTGTCCCCGGATTGGCTGGTAGATGGGAACCACTGACATTTCATTAACAGCTGAGTGTTTACCTCTCCACCCTTAGCATTATTCCTCCTACTCTTCCACTCTATGTTTATTCTTTAGGTTGAGTTTACAGACGCCAGAGCCTGACTTGGTTAAAATTTTGGCTTCCATGATTTTGTAGTTTGGGTGATCTCTCTGAGCCAGGTTTCCTCGTGTGTAGACGGATAATGTTGCTTGTTGCCTTGGGATCAGCTTTACTTGATAATCAAGGGAAGGAGACAGTCCTGAACCATCCTCATAATCTTTGTTATGTTTGAGCTGAATATACCTGTTGTGTCAGCCCTTATTATTGAAGGCTTCCCTGGTTTTACTTGACGTGACCACATTGCATCCTTTTCTTGGATTGGTCTAGTTCTTTAAGTGTTAACATCTTATTATTAAGATGTGCTTACTTACACACTTATCTCTTAAGTGTCTGTATTTACATCAACTAGTAAATACGTTTCTTCTATTTTCCCTAATCTGACTTATTTTACCTGGGTAATTAAACTTTGTCATCCCACCCCCAATCATGAGCCAGCATATTTTGTGAAAAAATACATTTTAGTTACTTATTTTAGTTTCCTTTATGAGTGTCTTTGTTTTATTGAAATTACTGTTTCAATCAGCTTAAAATACATTAGTGAAATTTTGCTTGACATTTATAAGTGAATTTACAATTGAGGAATAGAAAATACGTGGGAAATTACTTCATCTCAAATAATTAAATGTTAAATAATTGCCCCAACTCATTTTTTTTAATTGAGACATTTATTAAAAAGATAAACTAATGGTTCTGTGAGGAGAAAGATGAGACTTCCTATTCCCTTTACAATTTACGTTCTCAGAAACCCACAGAGGCAGCTGTACCACGTCCTCTGGGCTCATCATGAGTTGGAATCGACTTAATGTCAGTGAGTGATTGAGCGAATGGTTCTGTACTCAGATATCATTGTAGTTATGTGCTGACTTTCACAAAACAGAACTGATTATAAGGGACTCTTTGCAACTACATTCTGGACGGTTTTTTTAAAGTACCGTATGTCCTCGAGTATAAGCCAACCCAACTATCTGTCGAGCACCTAATTTTACCACAAAAACTTCATTAAAAATGTGCTGCAGTACTCGGTTTATACACGAGTATATATCGTAATCATAAATGACTGCTAAGATAGTATTACCATACTTTAGATACTTATTGATATTTGTTAGAAAATGAAGTTTGATATTATTTACAATTATATCAGCATTCATGGAGGCAAAATATCGGCATAAGGGTGTAATACTACCACAAGAAATATTTGCTTACTTCCTAATTAATTTTATTTTTATTTAGTTAGTTTTGAGCAGTTTTATTGGTATATAATCCACATATACATTTCAGTAGTTTAGTCATATCAAGAAGAGTTATAATTCATTACCACAGTCAATTATAGGACATTTTCTTCTTTCTTGTACTCATTGCTCTTAGCTCCTCATTTCCCCCAGCCTTCCCTGCCGTACTCCTAAGAAACTTTTAATCCAGTTACTGTCTCTATAAATTTACCTATCCTGGATTTCATATACAGAAAAATATTGACACAAAAAAACTAACAACAGGAACAAAGTAAAACAGAAAAACCTCAATTAAAAATAAAGAATATATTGAAAACTAGAACAAATTTAAAATGGGTCAAATGGGAGATCAAATGATAAGGTATTAAATTTTAACCTAAGTTCGTCTGCAATAATCCACTTTCCAGTGCACTCTGATAGCAGAGCCATACCGGGGGTTCAATCCACGTGTGTTTCCCCTCCCCTCACTGGTTTTGTTTTTTAAATCTCTAAAGCATTAAAATGGCTCAAAAGAGGGCCCAGTTAGTTTTATATAGGGAGTCATCAGAGCAGACTTGTTCTTAACAAGCAGAATTTCTAGGTCCATTCAATCAGAGTCTTCTATATCTTTCTTGGTGGGGCCTATTCATTGACAGATGGGAGGAGAGATAGAACCAGGTTCTGTATTCTATAACGTGTTCACATGTGATGCCAAGTCTTCATGATGTGCTTTCAGTTTCTTTGAGTTGATGCAGTGTCACAGAAATAAGAAAATTCCGGAGGGAGGAGATCCAGCCTTGAGCACCTTCGGACTCATTTCCTCTTTGACTAGCTTCCGTGTAAGACCCTCAATCCGAAACATTGTGCCTCGGCTTCAGGGGCTCCCAGACGCCTCAGTGGCCGAGTCTTGATACCAGTCTTTTAGACACACCTTTAGAAGGTAAAGTATTAAATTTTCATTTCCTGCCCCAAATCCAAATCATTGTATACGTGTGTTTTATTTGTCTTCAGCTCCTGTTTTCAGACTGAAGGTTATGCTCTCTTCCCAGCTCCCCGTGGTGGCACCATGTTCTCATGTGACATTTGTGGTGAAACAGTAACTTCTGCACCAGACATGAAGGCGCACCTCAATGCCCACTTGGAAAATGGAGTGATCTGCCCTTTTTGCAAGTTGTCAGGAGTGAATTATGATGAGATGTGTTTTCATATTGAAACTGCTCATTTTGAGCAGAGTGAACTTGAAAGAAACTTTCAGCGGAACCATACAATGCAGTACAGAACTTCAGATAACAAAAGAGACAATACCCTACAGTGTAGAATGGAAGTGAATTCACGTCTTCCTTCCGCTTGTGCATCTAATCATCCGAGAAGCTCAGCTCAAAACCTGTCTAAGGATGGTGCTTTAAAACACAAAACCTGTTGTTCAGAGAACTTAACTGAGTCGAGAAAATTCCAAAAAAGTAGGGGAAAACAATCTGACAGAACCAAAATAAAAGGACCAATTTATGAAACGATGTATGGCCCCCCTGAATGTCCATTCTGTGGGAAAATAGAAATTTGTAGTCAAGATATGGAAACTCATGTGAAAACAAAACACGCCAATCTTTTAGACACCCCTTTAGGAGGTAAAGTATCAAATTTATATTATAAATAATTTAGTCTCAATGTAATATTTGATGTAGTCAGTGTTGCTTTGTAAATCAGATGAGTATACATTTTAAAAATTTTAGTTTATGTTAGTAATATTGTTCATCTGCCATTATTGCAATATAAAAGTAATGGGAAAAAATGTTGCCGATATAAAATATTCAGCAGTATTAATAGTAGCTCTTGGACTCTTCCAGTGGTAAAATATACACAAGAATTCAGTTTCTAGGGGCCATTCTTTCATTTAGCACAAGCCTTTTAGCCTCTGAACAGCCCCGGCTGTTTTTGTTACTGATTTATAGTTTGATTCAAGTATGATTTGAAAATACGTCTATATGATTTCGTTTCTTTTAAATTTGTTGAGATGAATTTTGTGGCCAAAGGTGTGGTCTATCTCGTTACACATCCTGTCGGCATTTGAGGAAAAAAATATACTCTGGTTTTTGGGTGGAGGGAGGATTATATATATGTCAGTTAGGTCCTGTTTGATTTTAAAATTAGACCAACTGCTATCTTTCTCTGACACAGACTGCGACCAGCCACTCTATCACTGCCCAATGTGTGGGCTCAGCTGTACAAATTACCATATTCTTCAGGAACATGTTGACTTGCATTTGGAAGAAAGCAACTTTAGACAAGGTATGTTTGTATGTTCAACCATTTCTACGCGTACAGCTAAGTAACACTGATTAGCTTCTTTGAGTAACTCTACTACTTTCCCTCTTTTTCTGAGTTGTTCCTCCTTCATTAACCTACATTAATTGCTCCCTGAGGTTCCTATCCAATCTTTCCAGTTGCTGTTGTCACATGAATCTCCTAGTTCTTAAAACAGTGTAATTCTGAAGTTGACCTCTTTTTGCGTTTAGTTAAGATAAACTGTCGTTTAGTTTTGAGAATACTTCAGCACATATTTTTGGTTTGAAGATTATCCCAGACAACAGCTCAGAGGTTCACCCGTCTGCAATAGTCCCAGGAAGTGTACACTGCATGAGAATTGAAATTCTGTGTGTGTTTTCCCCTTTCGATTAGGGTTCTCTCCCAGAATCTCTGGTTGAAAGTGCTGGTTGATGGCAGCTGGACACCATCCAGCCCTTCTGGCTTCGTGGCAGCTGGGTGTGCACTCCATGTCCTCCTGCTGCTCCTGACTCTCCTCTTTCCTCGGTTCCCCCAAGGCATAGAGACCAGGTGTCTTAGTTGCATCCTTTTTCGGAAGTTGTTTGATAGACACATTGCAAAGGATAAAACATTGTAACCTGAACTCTGGCTGTGCCGTTGGGGCCTTCGCCCTAGAGTACTAATAGCTCCTAAACTCCCTCTCATCAAGTTGATTCCAACTCTTAGTGGCCCGGGATTTAGATGGTGCAAATATTAATACAATGCCTTTGAAAAGATCTGTTGGATTTACAAGTTGAAGCCATTCCTTCAGCGCCTAATGAAAATTAGCATATAGTCAGCAATAATGGGCATTAAAGTAGGATTCTGCCATATGACCAGTTAAAAATATTTGACTTTTAAGTATTGACTTAAAAGTACTTCTGATACATTCCTAGTAGCTTGCCCCAGCTTTTAAAAATTATACAAAATTTTGTTCCTTTGTATCTTATTTAATAGTGCTCTTTGAATGAAGACTCTATGGTGACTCAAGGAGCCATATTGGCACCATAGTTAGAGTGCTCAGCTACCCTGTTTCCCCAAAAGTAAGACATCCCTCGAAAATAAGACCTACTTACAGTTTTGCCTCTCACTTAAATATAAGGCATCACCCGAAAATAAGACCTCCCCGAAAATAAGGCCCCCCGAAGCTACTGTAGCTCTGGACTGTAGCGGCGGGCACTGCCGTGCAGCTCACTGTTGGCTACAGCACAGCCAGACCACACAGAAAGTGCAAGGTCTCTTTTAATAAACAATAAATGTGTGCCGTATTCTTCTTCATGGAAAAATAAGACATCCCCTGAAAATAAGACCTAGCGCATCTTTGGGAGCAAAAATTAATATAAGACACTGTCTTACTTTTGGGGAAACAGGGCACTAACTCACAGGTCGGTGGTTTGAATCTACCAGCCACTCCCTGGGAGAAAAATGTGGCAGTCTGCTTTTGTAGAAGAAATGGAAATGCCGTGGGACAGTTCTACTTTGTTCTGTAGGGTCACTGTACCCTGACAACAGTGTGCTTGGGCTTGGATATATATGGTGACTTAGAAATGGAACATTTTCTCAATCTCACTGAAACTCTAGAGCAGCAGTTCTCAACCTGTGGGTTATGACCCCTTTGGGGGTTGAATGACCCTTTCACAGGGGTCGTCCAATTCATAGCAGTAGCAAAATTATGAAGTAGCAACAAAAACAATTTTACGATTGGGGGTCACCACAACATGAGGAACTGTAATGAAGGATTGCGGCATTAGGAAGGTTGAGAAGCACTGCTGTAGAGGAAACACTTTTGCTCTGCCTGATTTCCGTAAGTGACACATGGTTGTTAGGTGCCGATGAGTTGGTTCGACTCAGAGTGACCCTGTGTAGAACACGAGGAGCACTGCTCAGCTCGGTGGCATACGCACAGCCCTTGCTGTGTTTGAGCTCATTGCTGTAGCCACTGTCAATTCAGCTCGCTTCCGCTGCCCCTTCGTCAAACAAAATGCCCTTCTCCAGGGGCTGATCCCTCACAGTGTTTGTTCATTCCACATAACCCCACAGTAAGAATTCCTGGAACAAAGATGGACCTCCTCTATTCTAGTGAAAAGCCAAACCAAACTCGCTGTCATCGAGTCAGTGCTGACTCTTAGCGACTCCCTGTATCAGTTTATGGGAGTAGAAAGCCCAGTTTTTCTTCCGAGGAGTTGCTGGTGGTTTCCAAGTGCCGAACTTTGGGATTGCAGCCCAATGTTTAATCACTGCACTATTAGGGCTCCTTCCCTTCTGGTCGTTCTCTACTAGTAATTACTCCACCTCGTGTGCCTTTTTTCTGTAACCTAGCTAGCGGAGACTGTAAGAATGTCTGGAAATTCTTACTCTTGTCTGTGACTGCTTTGATGTGGTACATTGCTTATTTCGTAGGCATGTTATGGGTAATGAGAGAAATGTATGGTCTGAGGAAGTCATTGTACATAGTCTCAGAAGTGCACTAAAAAAAGTAGCTGTGAATTGAATAACCCCAAGAATGTAAGGGGGGGCCACTAGGAAGATGTAGTAGAGACTGAGGGATTTGAAAAGAAAGAATATTCAAAGACATAATGAAACTATCAAATTGAGAGATCCAAAGAGAGGCTACTGGTCAGAGCCACTTACTGATGTGATCTGTAGGACATTGTAGAGAAGAGGCAGGACAAAAGTTTGCAAAGTGCTATTTTTTTCAGGCTAGACTATGAATTATGATCTAATACCTGTATTTCGAAAATACATATTTTATACTATTATTTTTTTCCTCCTTTTATTTTTATTATTATTATTATTAACAATAGTCTACATTTGGTGTATTAAGGCGCACTAGTGAACAGTGTTACTTTACCTCTAAGCCCTGGTTTCCTCAGCAAATAATAATACCAACTTCATAAAATTGTTAGGAGTTGCAATGAGATAATTCATGAAAGTGCTTGATACTGTATAAATAAGCAATCAAGCAGAGGTTTGTCCTTTAGAGAAGCAGTTATGAGTTTTGCTAGGTAAATGCTCACTGGTGTTATGACATGACATTTATGAATAAATGACAAAAAATAACTTTTACTCCATTTGAAAAACAATGAGCTTTGACTGTAGCAGTTATTTTATTCTGTTAAAATTTTTTCTGATAGGCATGGATAGTGTCCAGTGTTCTAGAGATCTAGAATTGGCCCACCAGCTTCAACAAGAAGAAGACAGAAAGAGGCACTCTGAAGAGTCAAGACAAGAAGGAGAAGAATTTCAGAAGCTGCAGGTGCAGAATAGCAATTGGGAGCTTCTGATTAGTTGAGGTCTTCATTTTGTGAACTTGCTTTTAAGACATCAGTCTTGGTTTTGGGTTCTCAGCGTGTTGTCTTAATTAATGTTCTCTTTTATATGCAACAGGATGGCACCCCTGGGAATGCTGTTCACCACTACTCAGGTGAATCCAATCAGTAGTTACTCCCACCTCAACAGACGCATGCAGGAAAAGGGAAAGGTGGTTTGGTGAAAGATTGTTTAGAAGTGAAAGATGGGTTAGAAGAGCCACATTAAACAATTCACTGCCCTGCACTTATTCAAGATATATTTTACATGTACAGTCTGTAATTCATAACCGCTAACACTTGTGAGTACTTGCTGGTCAGCTACTGATGAAAACACTTGCTATAGTGCACCTCAAAATCTTTCCAACAAATAGAGAAGTCACTTTAAGAGACAAAATCTAGTTAACTTGCCCAGGAACCAAGCCGAAACCACCCTCGCTGCCATTGAGTCAATACAGGCAGCTAGTAGGGGGTAAAGCGTGGTTTTCACATCCATGCTAGTTGATCAGGCAATTAGAATATCAAGATTCAGAATTTGTGTTTATAGATATGTAAAAGTGAAACCTTTATTTAGAATGTCTTCTAAGACTTAAAAAATTGGGGGGGAGGGTGGGTGGTTTTTTTAAAAAAAATTATTAATTGGGAGTTAATACATATATTATTCCATAGTTAAGACTTCAAATTTTCCAGAGACTTCATTTAAGGCATTTAGAAAGAAATTAATCATAAAGGTTTTTTTTATAATATTTGAGACCAGTTAAGTCAGCAGTTTTCAATCTATGGGTTACGACCCTTTCACAGGGTTCATGTAAGACCATCGGAAAACACATTTCCTATGGCCTTAGGAACTGAGACACAGATCTTCTATCTGTCTCCAGGCGGGTCCGCCCACATGCAGATACGCCCACATACGTACCCGGTGTGATGACATCGTCCTGCCAACCCCATCACATACACCCCTTACAAATACAGGTGTATGTCACGGGGTTGGTGCCATATGTACTTCTGTGGACTAGTCACACATGTGTAGAGAGCAGCTACTGTGTAGAAAGCAGCTGCTCTGTTAAAAGCAGCTACTGTGTTGAAAGCAGAAGTATTGGAGGTAAAACGACACTTCATGAATTATAATTACTGGGTAAATGTAAACTGTACTGTAAAATCATCAACTGCTGCAAAAAAAAAAATATATATATATGTATCTGTACCATGGGAACTGAATCTGGATGCTGACGGGTCTTTTTATATTCAGCTGTGGTTGATGTGAATACTGCCCCCTTGTGATAGCTATAGGTATGTAAAAGAAAACAGAATGGTAAATCATAGGAAACTTTAATGAACTGTATTGACAGGACTAAGCCATGTATCATCTTTTGTATTATTAAAGCTATTGTTATATATTATTTTCATTGGTAAACCATCCCATGACAGTGAAACGTATAGAGAAGAATGTTAAGCAAAGAAAATATAGTGAGGATTTTTTACAGTATGGTTTTACCTCAGTAATTAGAGCAGGAATTGAGAAACAGCAGTGTGTTATTTGTTGGGAAGTTTAGTCAGCCAAATCTGTGAAGCCAAACAAAGTAAAATGCCATTTTGACAGCAAGTATCCGAGCTTTGCTGCCAAGGAAACCAACTATTTCAGAAGCAAAGCTGATGGACTCAAGAAAGCCAGATTTGACACCGGTGGCAAGTACCATGCTTCCCGGAAAATGAGACATACCCATAAAATAAGCCGTAGCAGGACTTCTAAGCATTTGCGCAATAGAAGCCATCCCCCGAAAATAAGACATAGTGATAGGCGTGGCTCTGCAGCGCACTGCGCGGAGCGGTCATGAAGACGGGCAGCCCTTTCTCACCTGCCCCATCGGGACAGCTGCTGTCTCAGAGGTGAACTGAGGTCGTTCTGTGCGTGCTGCCAGCGGAGGCCCAGAGGGAGACAGACAGTGAAAGTCAAAGTCTCCCCGTGAAGTGAGGAGCAAGACGCTGTGCTCTAGGTGTTGTGTGTCCTGGGGGTGGGGGTTGGGGGGGAGGAAGGAAAGCCGCGGCTGCCGCTTGACTCAGCACCGGGGGTCGATGTTCCAGAAGAAGCCGACTTCGCTGTATGTGAATCCATGTAGATTGTTGTTCCATACTTAATCAACATAAGACATCCCCCGAAAACAAGCCATAGATGTCTGCTTGAGGAAAAATAAATATAAGACAGTGTCTTATTTTCGGGGAAACACGGTACCACAAACAAAACGTAGCATCCGTTTAAGCTTCATATTTCAGAATCGCCAGAGCTATGAAACCTCACACCATTGCCGAGGATTTACTGTTGCCAGTGGCCAAAGACATTGCTCAAGTTACAATAGACGAATTTGTTACGAAATTGAGTGCAATTTCCTTATTTAAGGACACTGTCCACAGAAGAATAGATTACATGTCTGCAAGTAATCCAGGAAGTTAACTCTGCTCCACTTAGAATATTTAGCATCCAGCTTGATGAATCTACAGATGTTGCAAACTGTTCGCAGTTACTGGTTTATGTGAGGTATGTTAATGATGGTGACTTTAAAGATGAGTTCCTTTTTTCCAACCTCTTGAAAGGACAACTGCACGTGATGTATTTGACACAGTTGGTTCATTCATGAAAGAGCATAAGATCTCTTGGGAAAAGGTTTGTGGTGTTTGCACAGGTGGTGCTCCAGCCATGCGAGGATGTCCATCTGGATTTCAGCGTTTGGTACTGAACGAGTCACCAAAAGTCATCAGAACTAACTATGATTCATCGGCAAATATTATTAACGAAGACGCTGCCACAAGAGTTACAAGTATTAATAAAAAGTGTCATAAGTTCTGTCAATTTCATAAAGGCGAGCACTAAACAGTCGACTGTTTTCGCAACTGTGCAACGAATTGGATGCGCCCGACAATGCTCTGCTGTTTCACACTGAAGTGAGAGGGTTGTCGAGAGGAGCAGTTTTAAAACGTGTTTTTGAGCTCTGTGAACTCAAAATTTTTTAATCAGAAAGCAAGACCACGGTTCGAAGTACTTATCAGCGATAAAAGTGCAGAAAATGGCTTATTTAGTTGACACATTTGCCATCTTGAACATATTTCGCAACACAGTTGCGAAAAGTCGATGGCGAATGAGTTAAATTTATCAGTGCACAGACCAAATGCAACATGCCTTGATTTGTCTGAAAAGATCCGATCATTCCAAATGAAACTTCAGCTTTGGCAAAACAAATTGGATGAACATAAAATGTACATGCTGCCTACCATATCTGCTTTCTTTGAAGAACCTGACATTTGAACAGACAGAAGGATTATGATGATAATTTTTGTGAAAGAACATTTGCACATGCTTGCAGACGAAATTTGATCATTTTTCCAAATCTACCTGACACCCCATTTACGCTTGCCAGAGGCCCATTCACCAAGTTGAAGATGTTCCTGAGAGCACAAGAGGAGTTCATTGAGCTTATTAACAGCGATGCAGCGAGAACTGATTTCTCTACAATGCCAGTTATAAAATTCTGGATCAAGTGTTTGCAGTCACATCCTGTTCTGTCTGAGCCTGTGTTGCGCCTTCTTCTTCCATTTCCAACAACATATCTTTGTGAAACAGGGTTTTCCAGCTTGTTGGTTATCAAGTCTAAATACAGAAGTAGACTTGTTGTGGAAGATGATCTTCGTTGTGCTCTTGCAAAGACTGCCCGAGAATTTCTGATCTGGTGAGAAAGAAGCTATCTCAACCTTCACACTGACTGGATTTTTATCCATACTGTTGCAAAATGTAGCAGTGTAATTTACTGTTGTTAAATTAAGACTGTTACCCATGCTACACCAGGCTTCAGGACAAAATTTCATTTATTTGTAATTCGAAATCAATATTTCACGATATATAATTACATATTGTTTTTGTGATTAATCATTATGCTTTAATTATGTTCAGTTTGTAACAATGAAAATACATCCTGCGTATCAGATTATGATTCATAACAGTAGCAAAATTAAAGTTATGAAGTAGCAACGAAAATAATGTTATGGTTGGGGGTCACCACAACATGAACTGTATGAAAGGGTCGTGACATTAAGAAGGTCGAGAACCACTGAGTTAAGTGGAGTGGTGGTATCAAACTAAATTGGCATCTATTATATTTTTAATGGATTGAAATTTTAAATATGCTTTTCTATTCTTTTCAGTCCTAATTTGCTGTGGGCTGTGGTGCCATCTGCTTGACAAGTGTTAGGCACTGTGTTAATTGGATAGTATGTGAATGAAAGGATTTATGGTCAGATGTTTGCATATTTCAGGACTTCTTAGAACCTTGACTATGTTAAGGTTCATTGTAAAAATAAATTTCCCCACTCTTATTTCATATGTATTTTTTCCTCATACATCTTACATTTTGCTATTGTTTCTTGGAACCCACTCTGAAATATATATCTGGGGCTTTTTCTTACTAGTGGTTTATAACGTGCCTATCAGGTTTCAGAGGATGATAGGGTTCCTTAGTCTTTTATGTAGTTAGGGACTGCAGCACAAAAAGCTGCTAGTGCTTCATGGGCGTCTTTTATATAATTTTACAAGTTGTGTAGAGCTGGATGCGTTAGTCCAGGTAAACTAGAGAAACAAATTCATAAACACACATATGTGTATAAGAGATAGTTTTTTGTATAAAGGGTAATTGTACATTAAGACAGCATTCCAACCCAGTCCAGATCAAGTCCATAAGTCCGATATTAGCCCATGTGTCCGATACCAGTCTGTCAGGTCCTCTTCTGACTCACAGAACACATGCAAAGATGCTGAACGCAGGGTTGTCACAGGACGATCACATGGAAAGTCTTTGGAGCCCGTGGTGTCAGCATCTCAGTGCTGGCAGGGGTCTCTACATGGCTTCTCCAGTACCCAGCGCTGTATCAGGGTAGGTACATGTGGCTTCTCAGGGATGTCTCAGAGGGAGTCAGCTTTGTCAGTAGAGTGTCTTGCAGGGAGTGAGCAGAGAGAGAAATTTTCCATCTCCAAGAAGGAAAAACCAGCATCCTCAGGAGAAAGCCATGCCCACACAGAGGCCTCATTGGCTACGATCTGATTGACAGACTAGACTCTACCCCTTCACTCTTAATCCTATCAAGTCCCAAATTGACACCAGATGATGTAACTGCCACCCTGGATCACACCCTTTCCATAGAAGCAGTTTTTAATTGCATATTCTCTAAGAGTCTCAGTTCTGTTTACAAAAACTATTTGTTGTATAGAATGATTAATTAGACAAATTAGGGATTTTTGTCAACATTTGTCCATTGACTGGCCTGAAAACAAATAAAGAACACTGGCAAATTTCCTTTGGGGGGAAAAAATTAGTATGTTTAGAACATGTGTGTCTTCATAGTATCTTAAGTAGAAAGGTGGGGTCCCCTATTTTCCCTATTACAAAGCACTTTTCTTGACACACTTATTGTATAAATGAAAGGACTATAATTGCTCCTGGGATTTTTTTGTAGACATTTTTCACAGAAATCTTTCAAGTGCACTTACTTATGAATCTGTAAATCAGACTATTTCAAAATACATTTCCAAGTAAATAAAATTATAGCTAAGTTTCCATCGTCACTGAGGTATAGGGATATAAAAATTGTTATCCTTTTTCATTTCAATAGAGACAGTATGGTTTAGATAATTCTGGAGGATACAAACAACAGCAACTCCGAAATATGGAAATAGAAGTCAGTCGGGGAAGAATGCATGCATCAGAATTTCATAGAAGAAAAGCGGATATGATGGAATCATTAGCTATCGGTATTGATGATGGGAAAACAAGAACTTCTGGTGAGTACTTAACTATCAAAGCCATGCTTTCAATATTCGTATACCACTAAAGTAATAAAAAGTACTTGATGTTTGTTTAATTTTCGTAATTCATGGTTTTAGGTGAAATGATATTTCTAAAAATCAATATTAATTGTTTTAAAACTTGGGGAATTCTTATTTTTACAGTAAACAATTTACTTAAAAATAACTCACTGTCATGCTATATTTAAAATGAGCCTCAAAAAAAATAAAATAAAATGAGCCTCTAATAAAAGTCTTTATTGAATGCTCACCATGCAAACCAGTGCTATCTAAGAGAAGTGAGCCACATATTAGAGCCTCACATTTGTGGGATTATTCCATCATCTTTCGATTTCATTTTTCCACCAACTTTTTGAAAGCCCTTTTATATAATTTCAAATTTCTAGTAGCCATTTAGAAAAATAAAAAAGGGACAGGTGAAATTCTTTCCAATACTGTGAACCTAGTGTATCCAAAATATTATTACAACATTTAATCAATATTAAAGCTATGAATGAGATATTTAACATTCTTTTCACATTTGTACCGAATTCTACAAATCCTTTCACATGTTTTTTAAATCTATTAAATACTTAAGAACCTAATTGCTCCTCCCACGTAATTGGAACCATTATCCTGAATTTGATAGTTAACAATCACATGCTTTAGTGCCTTTGCCATATATATATGTTTTCATAAACAGTATATAATATTTACACGTGTAATTGGTTTTGTTCAAATATGTTGATTCCTATAGCTGTATGTCCTTTTTGCCTGCTACATAGGATTTCCATATATGAATTATGCACCATTTGTTTACACAATGACAGACATTCAGATCATTTCTAGCTTTTCCTCTTGCAGCTTATGAACAGATTTCTTGTCGAGCGTTTCTCTAGTACCACATCCAGAGCTGGACGTGCTAAGGTAGAGGCCATGCGCATCTTCAGCATTCTCACTGTTTTTCAAAGGTTGCACTGCTGTCCCTGCACACCAGTGTATTCTCTCTCATACTTTATACGATGACATTCTTTAAGTTTTGCTACATAACCCAGAGTGGGGTGATACTTTTTTAAACGGCATTTCTCTAAGGACTCGAGTTTCTTCTGCAGCAACTCCTTTCTTTCACCCATGTCTCTATGAGCTTGTGTTTCTTTTCTTATTATGCTGGTCTTCTCTAAGCATTCGGGATACTAATTCTTTATTGTTTACATGAAATTTAAATGTTTTCCTCAGGCCTTTGCTTTACTTTTAAATTTGTAGATAGTGTCTTTAATTAGAATTTTAAAATCTAAGGGTAACCAAATTCTTGAGTCTTTCACTTTGTTTCAAGATGATTGTATAAGAAACTTCTTCACATTGATGTTAGAAATCTACTCCTTTTATCTTTTCTTTAAATATTTAGAGCTTGCTCTTGATAATTTGAATTTTAATCTATCTGGAATTTCTCTGTGTTTAAGTATTGTGAAGGGAGGGCCAACCCCCCACCACTAATCGCAGGTCCATAGGCACAATTGTACGGCTAATATATCTAAAGATTATAGTAAAGCCAGAGAGCATGAGAGATAAAAGAGAGACTGAAATAATGGAGTCAGACACATTTCATAGTAGCATGCTCACCTCAGCCCCGCTTGGTGGTCCACGTGGAGATAGGGGGAGGGGAAGGAGGTCAAGGGGAAAGGGAACAGGGGGGAGAGGAGGGGGAAGCCTACCAGAGGCCAAGAGGGGAGCCCCAGAGAGAGCTCTTTATTGCTAACCCAGGCCTAGATACCTTGGGGGGCCAGTGCAAGCCCACTAATTACAGGTAAAGACATACATCACAGGAAGGGGTTGCACTATAGGTTATACAGCACTGAGAGGGGGACAATCTCCGGGGCATACGTGTGACAAGAAGGGCGGATCCTAGATACAGGATGGCAGCCTAACTTTGGATGTCACTCAGCAGGTTTGACCTCTTCTCTGGATCTCCATAGAAACTATTATCAGATGGGGGGAACTCCACCTGCAGGAACCAAATCAATGACTGCAAGCCTTTAGGGAGAAGTAGCCCATTGTCCTTAACAGCAGGGAGCAGGCCTACCCAGGGTGGGACCAGACAATAGTTTGGGCAACTGTCTGCCTTCAGGGAGGATGTCTTTAAGCATGTGACCTACTCGCACATGCTAGCAAAAAGCCCCTAATGTTTGGCATGTCTTTGGGGGAGACAAAGCTGGGGAAAAGTCTCTTTATAATGCCATAAGGTATTTTTGTGTGTGATTGAGGGTTAAGGTATGCATATAATGTCCCCCCCTTATTTGTAACAATACTTAAAATAAGTACTTCATGTCCTTATGTATCTCAGTACCACTAATTCCCACACAATCCTGGAACTGAATTAAAATATTATAGCCAACATCTTGTTTAATGTGCTCTGTTTGGCCACAGCCAACATTTTCACAAGAAGAATGGTGTAAAATAAAGATAAGTGTGAGATTAGTTTACCAATCTTTATGTACCTTGGGTCAAAACTATTCCCTCAGTGAAATGGGACCTATTAACGTTTTTTGATTGGAAGCAACTTGAACTATAGCTGAGCTTCAGAGAATGACATTTTCGACAGTCTGTATAATGAAATGGAGAGACAAGAACAAGATTCACCCAGTAGTTTTATGATCGGATAGATGAAAGATGAGAGCAATTTCAATCCAATGTAGGAAATAATATGCTAGAGTAAGGAAACTTGAGAATAGTAACAAGTGAGGACACGAGCTAAGTTCCTAACTCTAAGACAGTAAGGAAGAAGACGGAATTGATAGGACTTAGATTTGGAACTTGAAGGAAAGGCTGATGTTAGACACTTATGAATCAGCCATAGAAAGGTGGTAACATATCTTCTAAATCTCTTTTACTGTAGGAATCATTGAAGCCCTTCATAGGTATTACCAGAATGCTGCCGCAGAAGTGAGGCAGGTGTGGCTTTCTGCAGCGGTGGATCACTTTCATTCTTCCTCGGGCGACAAAGGATGGGGTTGCGGCTACAGAAATTTCCAAATGCTCCTTTCATCGCTGTTACAAAATGATGCTTATAATGATTGTTTAACAGGTATGTGAAATATAGTGCTTGCGGCCAAGTTGATTCTGACTCATAGCAACTGTATAGGAGAGGGTAGAATTACTCCCTGAGGTTTCCAGGCTATAAGATAAATTGTTGGAGAGCAGATTGCCTCCTTTTTCTCCCATGGAACGGCTGGTGGTTTCAAACTGCATACCTTGTGGTTAGCAGCTCAACACATAACCTATGTTCCAAATTATATAGCAAATACAATGACTAGTTTTAACGAAGTATTTAGTGGAAGCTTACATTAGGAATTTGAATTCTGTTGGTAGGAAAAGAAAATGGTGCACTAGACAATGTCAGAGATAACTTAAAAACCCTCGTTTTAGGTTTCTTTATAGTTTGTGATACACTGCTTTATTTTATTCACCATCATGTTGTCATGAAACACATTTGCTTGTGTTATTTTAGGTATGTCAATTCCTTGCATTCCTAAAATTCAGACTATGATTGAAGATGCTTGGAAGGAAGGGTTTGATCCACAGGGAGCCTCTCAACTCAATAATAGGTTACAAGGGACAAAGGCCTGGATTGGAGCATGCGAAGTCTACACACTTCTGACCTCTCTCGGAGTAAAGTATGTACCTCGAAACAAAAGTGCTTGTGTTTTTCATACTCGGAAGACTTGTTTCTGCTAACGTTTTTCCAAACTATAGAGCTGGTAAAGAAACAAAACTAAGTAGCACGGAAAGGCTTATGAGAATCTACTCCCTTCTCGTGCTCTTTAATTTTAATTCTTCTTTCACAGAAAGAACAGCGGGCTCCATTGTTTTTAAGTAATATGTTTTGTGGACATTCTTTGGTATTTCAAATTTGCACATTGTCTTTTTTATTCTCCTTATATGAGAGTAAGCCAAAAAGTGTGACTATTATCCTTCCAGCTCATATGTGCATGGTTTATTCAAAACATGTCTAAACGTGTCTTGACAATCAGTGGTTGGCTGCAGACCAGTCTGCACTGTACTTCTCTTAGTGTGGTGGGGTCAGATTTCTTATGTGGCTCTTCTATCCATGTCTTGGTAACGCCCACCAAAGGATCGGGTGTGACTTTGCAAGCATGGCATGTGTAACACTGCTGGAAGGGATTGTTCAGTTTTAGTAACACCACACCTCTATACATCATATGTTGGTGCCAGCATATGTCCTTCTAGCTAAAAGGATAAGCCACCCTTGAAGCAGCAGTAGAAGAGAGACATCCAGGACCATTGGAAGTGGAACATGTTCTAGATCTCTGTCTAACGTGGCAGAGGGTGAGACCAGAGGCACTGTCAGCTGAGGCAAATGAGGCCATGAGACAGAACAGAAGATCAGCACTGAGGCTGAGATCTTCAGGCAGAGCAGCAGGCTGGCTTCCTGCCCCACAAAGGCAGAGGCCAAGGGACCATGTGGCTGAGAGGCTGCGGACTGGAGGTAGACTTGGCTGCTGACTGAGGAGAGGTGTTGCTCTGGATAAATGACTGTACCCTTTTTGTTTTCTTATCCTTGCTTATAGTAACCTGTTAACTTCCCTAATCATCCCCTTATCTTAAAGTATGGTCTGTGAGTTGTGTGTGGCCATTACAATGGATGATTGACCCCAGCATGAAGTAAGAGTGCTGTGGGAAGAATGTGGCAATAGGGAAACCAGAGGAGGTCCGATATGGAAGCTCTCTATATCATTGGCTCACTAAGTCTCAGTAGGTTGTCTACCAAAAAGGTCCAGTCAAAACAGTGGCTTCTGAGGGAATCCATTGAGCCAGTTAAATTCAAGGTAGAGAGGTCAGCTCAGGGTTTTTTGGATGACTTTTTGGCCTCTAAAGGAGTAATTTAGATAAACTTTTCTCCAAGGACACAGGGCTGTCACAGGAGCCTGTGAGGAAGAAGTTTTAAGAAAATGAAACATTGCATTGGTGAGAAAAAGACCAGGAAAGTTATGCCAGGAAGCGTTTCCCCATCATAAGGTGCCCTTGGTCATGCTTTGAGGGTAGTAAAGGCTCCCCAATGAGAATGTGTTGGGAAACTGCACTCCGAACACCACAGCCCTGATCCTGCCCCCCTTTCAGACTTCGTTGTTTTCCAAACTCAAAGCACAAATCAAAGGAACACGTGAGTCCCTTGAAGATGCAACAAGTGCGTTGTGATGTCACGTGAATGGAAGAGCAGCGCTCTTCAGGACAGGCCAGAGGCGGAAAGAACATCTTCCAACTGTGTAGACCTAGATGGAGTGTATAAGAACGACTAGCCTCACATTTTGATATTATTGTTTAATAACGTTTTCTATGATTTTGTCCAAAACCAAAGTCCCCCAATAAAATGGCGGGTTCACTGGCTGCCACAGTGGGCTCAAATATGGCAAATGTGAGGGTGACCCAGGGCTGAGTGGTGTTTGCTTCTGTTGAACTTCGGGTCTGGGAGTCAGTACCGGCTTGACGACACCTAGCGACCACCACAACATGCTTTTTGACTTCTCTTCACTTCTCCCACCCGCCGCATCTCATCGTTCTCATAGGCTTTTATCTACGCTTCCACTGAGATCAGAGTTTCCGTTATTGTGGCTATGTGAATAGCGTTCATTGCTAATCTTACTTACGTTCCTGTGAAAAGCTTGTTGCCTTTCCTTTTTCCTTTTGCTATATGATTTCATCCTGAGCTGAACATTTTCCAAACACTCCTCTGATCATCTAATTCAGGCCCTCCTTCTTAGAGAACTTCTTCATTTCTCTGTTCTCCCTGCCCCAGTATGGATTATTGTGTTGGTCCGGGTAGACTAGAAAAACAAATCCTTAGAAACTTATATGTATTAAAGAAAGGTTTATATACAAGAGCAACTGAATATTGAGAAAATGTCCTAGCCCAATCCAGATCAAGTCCATAAATCCAATATTAGCCCATATGTCCGATACCAAGCTATAAAGTCCTCCTCAGACTCACGAAATGCATGCAATGATACTGACTGCAGGAGGATCACAGGCCAGTGGGTTGGAAATCTTCTGGATCCTGTGGCGTTGTAAGCCTCTCAGAGCTGGCAGGGGTTTCTATGTGGCTGCTCCAGCTCCAGAGGTGTGCTTGCATCAGGGTAGGTTCATGGGGCTTCTCCCGCTCCCAGGACGTAGTGCCATGTGTCTTGTCAGTAGAGCATCGTCTCAGGGAGTGAGAAGAGAGGTGTCTTGCCTCCAAGGAGGAAATCCAAGAGTTGCCAGAATTCTCAGGTGAAGGCCATGCCCACACGGGGCTCATTGGCTGTGATCCGATTGACAGACTAGACTCCACCCCTTCACTCTTAAATCCTCTCAAGTCCCAAATTGACACCAGATTATGTAACTACCACAATTATTTACTCTCATTTTCTCTACACCTTTATCACGTAGTTTCTTCTTTTTTTTTTTTAATCACGTAGTTTCACTGTACACTTGTGTGGAATAAGGGGTACTACTACTGAAAGGGAAGATGCCTTCTGATTCACATTCACACACCTTTATATACAGTGAACCCTCGTTTATCGCAGTTAATCAGTTCTACTACCCTACGGTGAAAAATGAAATTCCGCGAAGTAGGATTCCTTATTTGTAAATCAAATATTTTCGTAGTTAGAGCATAGAGGACATGAAAAAACACCCTTTAGTCACCATTACACTCGTATTACCCAATTTATTAAACGAAAAAGGGAAAATACAGTAAAACATTTTGGACGTTACAATTATCATTTATTATTTATTATATTATTTATGGCATCTAGTTTACAGTATTACATATTTCACATACAGTATTATTATACATAGTTCTTACAAATACTGTAATCAATAACCTATGAAATGACTTAAGGGATGTATTCTACAGGTGGGTCGCCGTCTTTTTCCTCTGAAGGAGCGGGTGTAGGCAGTGGGTGCTGTTACGCAAAAACCGCGATAGAGTGAAGCCGCGGAAGTCGAAGCACGAAGTGGCGAGGGTTCACTGTATACAGATATACATTCCTCGAATATTTTTTCAGATTTTCTCTTACTCTTGATATTATAAAGTGTTGCTAGAGATTATTATATTGGATGTTTTTCTTTTGACTCTGGAAGTATGAGTTTTAGGTTCTCATTATAGTGGCTAGGAAGGAACCCTGGCAGAGCTGTTAACTGCAGGGTAAGTGGTTCAAACCCAGCAACCACTCCAGGGGAGAAAGATGAGACTATTTGCTCCCATAAAGATTTGCAATCTCTGAAACTATATGTAGGGTCACAGTGAGGTATAGTAGACATGAAAGCAGTAGGGATAATGGTAAGAGTTGAATATTTGAATCCAGACTGCCTACATTTGATCCTAGCTTTTCTACTTCTAGATGTATTATTGAGAGAGCCTGGTGGCATAGTGGGGTCCTACTGGATGACAGTGAGTTTGGTTTTGATATGACCCTTTAGGACAGGGTAGAATTGCCCCTGTGGGTTTCCAAGACAGTAACTTTTTACAGGAGTAGATTAACCTCAGGAGCGGGTAGTGGTTTTGAACTGCTTACCTTATGGTTTGTTTCAAACAAATCTGTGTTGTGTAAGAAGTACAGTGGAATGCTCCTTAGAGGCAAGGGTGGGGAGACTGTATCACATACTTTGGACATGTCAGAAGAGCAAACTCTGGAGAAGGACACCGTGCTTGGTAAAGTAGGAGGGCAGTGGAAAAGAAGAAGCTACAAAGACGGACTGATGAGGTGGTGGCTGGCTGGGCTCAAACGGAAGAACAGTTGTGAGGATGGCCTTGTTGCGTTCTGTTGTACATAAGGTAATTATGAGTTGGAACCCAATCAACTGCACTTAACACCACCACCACCACCTTGTAATTAGCATCCCAATGAGTAACCTACTAGGCCCCCCAGGACTTCCGAACCACAGGCATAGAGGCTAGAATTTGCCATATTAAGTAAATGACTACACCTCACTAATATAATGACTTTAGAACTATAATCAGAATGGAATGTTTTAATGCTTTCTAAATTTTTCTTCTTTTACTAATTCATACCTTCAGGTTACAAACTGTGTCATAAGGAGTTTTAAGATAGTTTGCTCAAAAGCAGTTGGAGCATGGGGCCATTGCCCAGATGGCCTCAGAGAAGAGCAAATTGTTTTCAAGTCTTAAGAACTAATGTAACTTGGCAGCTCTCTTCCCCATCTCTGCTTCTCTAGCTTCTTGTTTAGCTTCTTGTATATCTTAGTAGATTATTGACCCAAGACACAGCCTACACCAAAGTAGGCCTGTGTCTCATTAACACCACAAAGACAACCCCTTCCCAAATAGTATTATAACCACAGGCCTAAATGATAAGATTTATTACAAATATTTGGGAGAACAGAATAGACTGCTAGGTCCCTTTTACTTCCTTCCTTTGAATTTCTCCCGTTTGTATGGGAATGCCCTACATTGTGCCCATTCTACCATGGTACTTTGGAAGCAGATAAATTGTATCCTAGATTTCAAAGATTCATTGATGAAGAATAATTTTGACCTGAGGTAGAATTTGGACATGGAGTTGCTTTAAAACTCTTGGGATTGTGGGGTGGGGTGAATGATTTTTACATGTGGCAAGGACATGAATTTGGGAAAGAGTGGATGAAATGGTATGTATTGAATTCAGGCCCCCAAAATATTTGTAATCAATCTTATCATGTAGGCCTGTGGTTATAATACCATTTTGGAATGGGTTGTCTTTGTGTGGTGTTAATGAGACAGGACTTTAGTGTAGGCTGTGTCTTGGTCACTAATCTGTTCAGATATAAAAGAAGGTAAACAAGAAGCTGGAGAAGCAGAGATGGGGAGGAGACATGCTAAGTTACATGAAGATTGCCCAGGAGCAGAAGCTCAAAGAGATGAGAATGTTCCTTTAGAGCCAACCAAGAGATACAGCTTTCCCCTAGTGCAGACACCTTGAATTTGGAGTTTTAGCTTCCTTAACTACAAGAAAATTAATTTCTGTTTGTTGACCCACTTTTGATACTTCTGTTATAGTAGCATTCGATAACTCAGACAGCTTTCTTTTCAGGACAGAAGACCAGGATGGTCTTTTGTAAGATGGATAGAAATGGGTACACAGACCTTTTTCTATGATCTTTATAAGCATTCTTGGTACTGGAATTTTTTTAAAGAGTTGGTGGGAAAAAAATAGTCAAGATAATTTTTATAGCTACAAATGGCTCTGGAGTGAAAACCACCCCGTTTTTAAATGACGTTGTTACCGCCATCAAGTGGATTCCAAATACCCCATGGGTGCTCCCAGAAAAAGTCAGGAGCCCTCACCTACTCTGTATGTACCTTTTATGTGTCAGAAAATGCTGGTAACTGCACTCAGTTGTCTGTGTTTTATGGATAGTTATGTAAATAGCTATTTCCTCCACTGAAATAATACTTCTCCAGGTTAATTATAAAAGCTTATGTTTATTTTCTGTCTTCCTATGTAAAGAAATAATGATTAACTGAAATTTGTTTATAACTGAAACATGTCTTTATTAAGTACCTCTGATGAAAATATTTAAAATATATACTATACATTTTGTCAATTTTTTGATAGGTGTCACATTATTGATTTCCATAAGTCAACTGGCCCTTTGGGTACGCACCCCCGATTATTTGAGTGGATATTAAACTACTATTCTTTAGAAAGGGAAGGAAACCCAAAGGTGGTGTGTACATCTAAGCCTCCTATCTATCTTCAGCACCAAGGTTAGTGTAACTCATAGATAATAATGTTATTTATAAGATGTGCTAAATAACTTTGGTTTTAGGACAGGTAAAGGCCCTGGTAATGGGTGTAGATGGGGTGAGGTACATGGTATTAATCTAATATCCAGAAGAATGATAATACATGGAATCTTCAGGGTCTTTTTCTTTGTTCCCTTTTTCTTCTTTGTCCATCCATATCTTCAGGTCTTTACCCATACCATGTCACCTTAATAACCTTCCCTGGCCACTTTATTTTAGAACTGCAATTCATTTTAGCTCCTCAATGCTGACGTTTCCTATCTCATGCCTCTGCTACACTTTTCTTTCTCTGACATAAAAATAAATAGCTTCATTTATTTATCTTGTTTATAGACTTTTTTATTAGAGTACAAACTCCATGAGAGTTGGTATATTTGTCTCATTTTTTGCTATATCCCTAATTGCCTATAATAGTGCTTCTTATAGACATTTGATAATTTTGTTGAATGGGTGGTTTTGAGTGACAGATAGAATACATGTGAAGAATTTAATCGCTTAGGGATACAACTCTCCCTATTGAAATCTAACATATAATATATTTACTTCTGTTTGCCTTTGTAACCATGAGAATTTTGGGCGTGGGGTGGATAAATGGTTATAGATAAACATAACGTACATAGGTGTTATTTTATAGGTCATAGTAGAACAGTTATTGGTATTGAAGAAAGGAAAAACCGCACATTATGTTTACTGATACTTGATCCGGGATGTCCTTCTCGAGAAATGCAGAAACTATTAAAGCAAGACGCTGAGGCGAACAGTCTCAAACAACTTCGGAAATTTGTGGGAAATTTAAAACATCAGCAGTACCAGATAGTGGCAGTAGAGGGTGTTCTTTCTCCAGAAGAGAAAGTTGTAAGTATCAGTATTTATTTTGAATGATTTTTAGCTAAAATCAGTGTTAACCCTTTTTATCTCCTAATAATGTCATTCTGTTTCATTAAGTCAGCCAAAGACATTTTGTGTTTAGGCCATTTTTTTTCTGAAATGAACATCTTTAAATTCCAGATATTTAAATATCAATGTCAGGTAAGTGATGAATAATGAAAACATAGGGGCTTGAAAAAGTTTGTGGAAAATGGGGCTAAGAGATAATGGCATTTTTCCATGAACTCTTTGAAGTCCCCTCATACAAGGTAAGAAACCCTATCTTAACCCAAGGAGAACTAACCATAGAGGTCTTAATGTTTGTTAAAATGTGACTTGTGGTTCCTGAGGCTCTGTTTCATGCACTTGAGCTCTAGTGGATAGATAAAGTTCTAGAATTTAGCCCAGGTGGCATAATGAGTTTTATGTTGGGCTGCTAGCCACCCACTTGTTGGGAGAAAAACGAGGCTTACCGCTCCCATTAAGGCTTAGAGTCCCAGAAACCCACAGGGCAGTGCTTCCCTGCCTGGTAGGCTCTGTGTCAGTTAGGGTTGACTCATGGCAGTGAGTTTTAAAATTTTTGAGAGTTGGCTCTTTTCTTTTTATAATAAAGTCTAATTAAATGTTTGTAGCAGATGATAGAAAACAGTATTAAGAATCAGGTGTTGATAGCATTGATGATATGTAACTCCATTCATTGGGATTGAACAGCAGAGTTGTATGTGAATGGATATCTTGGATTGAATAAGATAATGCCAATAAGACTATTATAATAAGAAAAGAATGAGAAACCTTTCACCAGGTACGAACTGAAATTATGTATTGGTACATCAAGTTTAGCAAATGCGCAGGACCTGGAATCTTTTTTTAAAAGTGCCACTATTCTAGTAGCTCGGTGTTTTATTTTCCTCCAGAGAGAAAAGGGACAGAGGCAACAGTTATGTAGAAACTGGTATCTTGAGAGAAACATCGAAACCTGTTTGAAATGGTTGAGATACAGCTAAACTAATCTTTTTTAGCCCCACAGCTTGTGATACAAAGGTATTGATTGTTAATATGAGGCCCTTCAATTTAATTGTGGTACACAATTGCAAAATTTAAATAAAAATTTCATTTTACTTCAAACTCATTTAGCTTCTAAGTTAGTGATTTGAAGCCAACCAGTGACTGTGGGAGAAAACGTGGCCACCTGCTTCCATAAAGATGAGTCGAAATCTCCAGGGACTATAATTGAACTATAGAAATGTAGGATTTGGGATTATGTCCCACTAAAATTTTTATTTAAAGTGCAAACAAACGCCAGTGGGGCAGTTCTGCTTGGTTGAATGGGTTGCTCTGAGTTGGAATTGGCCCCTGCCATCCCCAATAATGGCAGCCTTGTTCATTTGTCCAGACCACCTGGGAGGTTAGTTGTTATTAACCCCCCACATCTTTGCTTACTGAGGTGCAGACGGTTTGTGGCAGCACGGCTGGGGTTACATATCACGGAGTCTTGCAGAACAGGATGGTTAGTGTCTCTGTGGAGCGGCAGGTGACTGAAAGTGTGCTTCCTACATATAGTTGCTGCCGTGTCATTCTTTTCACCACGATGAGCCTTTATGGGTATTAATAAAGGTCTTTATTTAGTAAATATTTTGTAAATATTTTGGTATTTTAGTGTATAAGGATTACATGTTGGGCTTCCACCCCCAGATTCAGCAGTTCAAAATCAACAGCAACTTTTCAAGAGAAAGATGAGTTTCCCACTCCTGTAAAGATTTACAGTGTCTATCTGGAGAAAAAACCAACGAGACCAATGGTTCTGGGGGAGATGGAAGGGGGAGGCAGGGGAAAGAAAGTGGGTGTTAACAAAACCAGGGACAAGGGAACAAGTGATCCAAAATCTATGGCAAGAAAGGTGTAGGAGGCCTGATAGGGCTAAAACAAGGGCAGTGTAAGTGAGAGGAATTACTGAAACCCAAATAAAGACTGAGCATGATAGTGGGACAAATGGAAAGTAAAAAGAAATAGAGGAAAGAACTAGGAGTCAAAGGGTATTTATAGAGGTCTAAATACAGGCATATATATATATAAAATGATGCGGAAATAGGTCTATGTACATATATCTATAGGTTTAGTATTAAAGTAGCAGATAGACAATGTGTCTCTACTCAAGTACTCCTTCAATGCAAGAACACTTTGTTCTATTAACCTGGCATTCCATGATGCACACCTTCCCAACATGATCACTGAAGACAAAGCAGGTGCCATAAGTACATGTGGTGAAGAAAATTCATGGTGCCCGGCTATCAAAAGATACAGTGTCTGGGATCTTAAAGGCTTGAAGGTAAACAAGCAGCCATCTAGCTGAGAATCAACAAAGCCCACATGGAAGAAGCACACCAGCCTATGTGATCATGAGGTGTTGATAAGATCAAGTATCAAGCATCAAAGACCCAGAACAAAAAAATCATATCATTGTGTATGAGTGGATTGCAGAGTGGAGACCTAAAGCCCATCTGTAGGCGATTGGACATCCCCTTACAGAAGGGTCACCGGGAGGAGGCGAGCCAGTTAGGGTGCAGCATAGCACTAGTAAAACATACACCTTTCCTTTAGTTTTTTAATGCCCCCCCCCCCACTATCATGACCCCAATTCTAC